TGGTACCTCAAGCGTTGTTTTTGGAGTTAAGTTACAACTGTAAGCCATGGAAATTTGCAGCATTACTTTAGAATTTATGTAGTACCTGGATTATTTTTAACTTAGTTGTCTTTTATTCTGTTGAAAGCAATTGTGACCATCTAAAGGAAGAGAAATTGCGCAAGTGGTTCTTTTTCAGATTAGCGAGCTAACTTAGTTTGAGTGTCACTTTTTTTTTCCATTTATGGATATCTGAAGTGATAAGAGAAAACAAATGTAATATTAATCTCAAAAGGGGCTTCCTAATAATGCTGGCAAAACAACCTAATATATTTGTCAGTCTCCATGTCGGAGAAGCTTTGGAAATAAATGGCCTATGATTACTGAGTAGCAAGATTCTGAACTATTTCTAAAATTCATTGGCCTGAAGAGGAAAGAAACTGCTTCTATTTCTTCACTTGTTATGCAATCCAGAGGTATCAGAATTGTAGTAAATATACATGGAAAAAAAATCTGAAACTCTTGCACTTAATAAGTAATCATTTCTTGCATTATTACTTAATTTTATAAATTCTTAAAGCATGGATGGGAAACAAGCTGGAAGATCATAAGCCCAGCAAACTACACACGTGCAATTAAGTGTCATGGTTTAACCCCGGTAGGCAGCTAATACCGCATAGCCGCTCGTTCACTTCCCCCTACAGTGGGATGGGGAAGAGAATTGGAAAGGTAAAAGTGAGAAAACTTGTGGGTTGAGATAAAGACAGTTTAACAGGTAAAGCAAAAGCTGCATACACAAGCAAAGCAAGACAAGGAATTCATTCCTTACTTCCCATCGGCAGGCAGGTGTTCAGCCACCTCCCGGAAAGCAGGGCTCCATCATGTGTAACAGTTACTTGGGAAGACAAATGCCTGAATGTCACACACACACCCCCCCTTCCTTCTCTCCCCCAGGTTTTATCACTGGGCATGACATCATGTGGTAAGGGATAGCCCTTTGGTCAGTTGGGGTCAGCTGTCCTTTGTCCACTCCCAAGTTCTTGCACATCACCAGCCCACTTGCTGCAAGGCAGTGGAAGAAACAGAAAAGGCTTTGATGCTGTGTAAGCATTTTTCAGCAATAGCTAAAACGTTGGTGTGTTTGTGTCATCACAAATCCAAACACAGCACCATACCAGAAAATTAACTCTATCCCAGCCAAAACCAGTACATTGAGATATGAAACAAATTGATGCATGATTTGGTTTTATTTATCATTTTTATATGTACAATGAGTGTACATAATAGTTTTTTGGCTGATGCAGCTTGATACTTCATGGCCAGTAATCTAAAAACTGTTGAGGACAAATTATTGGCTTGTGTATGAGTTGAAATTTTTCTTATTTACTTTAAAAAAATAGTCTATAAACATAAATGTGCTTGTCTTAAAGCTATATATCAATGTAGGTACGGGTAGTTTGACCTTTGTGGCTTTGGGGGTCCAGTTTTCAACACATGCTCTCCCACTTGGGCAAGCATAAAGTCTTCTAGGCAAGCCATGCCAACTGTGTCCTCTGGTACCTGCTGCATAAAACTGGAACATAGAGGTGAGGGCAGGAGGGAAAGGCTTCTGCTGCCTGCCCCAGGTCATCATGATGCTCTGGAAGGGAGGACACTGGCAGTTTTCTATGCTCCAAGAGAGGTTCTGCGATTTGGGGAGGATATCTTAGACTGAGTAAAAACATCTTTCATATTGAATTTGACCTGTTAAATGCCAATTAGACCTCATTGGTCTAGATCGGTTGCTAAGGTTTCTCTTTCTGTTCTTGTTTTTTTAAACAAAACATGCTTATCAGTAGAAATTATTCTTTTGGGTCTTAAGATTATGATAAATATGCTTGAAACGAATTTTCTTATACATTAGCAGCAATGCTGCAAGTGTGCAGCATTTAAAGCAGCTCTAAGGTTTCAAATGTGCTGATGATGGAGCTTTAATGCTATGTGCTTCAAATTAAAGCGATGTGGTTTTTGTAGACCCAGTAGATGAACTTTTATTTTTGCAGTCTCCCCAGTAAAGCAAAATCTGACATATTGCTGCTGCTTTATCAAAAATAGGGAGAACAGTTTACCAGACATCTACTACTAGTCAGAGATGGAGATGAATAGAAATGTAGATTTGCACAGGGAAGCTTGATTTTTTTTTCCCAACAGTGGACTGGAAAAAATGAATACGTTGCAAGTCAAGAACTGTTTAGGGTGTGTTTACATTTTGGTTACTAGATAATGTCTTTCATTCCACAGTTGCTAGTTCTAATCTGTAATGTTACTAAAGGAAATGGTGGGGTATTTCTTCAAAATCTTCATTGTAGACAGAACTTAGATCCTGTGTCATCTCTCACTTGACTGACACAGTCAGGTACAGGTGGATGGGAAAGTGTCTGCAAGCTGACAGCTTCTGTGGGATGTTTTGTAATTCATTGGCACAGGTGAATAACAGTGTGCTTTGAGTTAAAGTATTACAGGTGTATCCCTCTGTTGCTTCTCTGTCCATTGTTTCAGAGATTAGTTGTCCATTGTTTAATACTCTGCTTCACTAGCCATTGCATAGGTGAAGTGTCTGAATGAAATGGATAAGGAAACAATTTTATTTTTAACTTAATTTCTTTTTTTAAAAAGAATTAATGTATGGGAAGAAGGAAAGAACGCGTGCAGGGGCTTGAGAAATACATGATTAGTGCATGTAGGGGCAGTCTATACAATGTGGAGGCTGGGTATGAAAGAGCAAGCTTGTAAACCCTTGTAAGCTGGAGGACATGCTGGCTTTGCAGAGCGGGTCACAGTTTTGAAAGATCGCTGCAGCTTCATCAGTGGGATGATGCCTCAGCATTACCTCATTTTTCCATCCTTTTTTGATTGATCTAGCTTCATCCGAGGAAGATGACATCAACCATGAAAATGTAGCTATTCACAAAGAGGCAGCAAGAATCCTCACAGTTGAAGTTTTATGTTGGGTGTTTAGTCTCAGAATTGAAGTGGCTGAGGTTTCTTGGAAAGGTTGGTCTGCTCTGTGCTGTAGGGGAAGGCATTGGCCCCGACTGTGTTTCTTGGATATGGTTATGTTTGTCTCTGGACTGTGGCACACTGACAGATTCCTTTCCCCCGCGAATTTTACAGGAAGGAGATTTTATTGCCTTTTGAGATAATAAAATGCAAACAGAAGTAGAATTTTGTTACCTAACTTAAACTAAACATTGAAGTTAGTTACTGCTTTCTTCTTGCAGTTTATATTTCAAAGTATTTGCCATAATTCTCCTTTATATATTTGTACACTGGAAAATTCTCAACCTCAAATACCAGATGAGACCGTGACCCTTGGAAGCTTGTCGCTTATATAGTTATGCCTGAAATAACAGTGCAGTCAGATCTGCATTGATGATGATGCAGTAAAACTGACTCACCCATTTTGTAGATGATACAGACCTTTCAGTTCTAACAAAGGTTATTCGTGGAGTGGGCATTTTGTCTTCTACAGTCTTGTGAAATACCTTCTCAACAGCATTGGTGGAAAGTTTCTTTCTTAAGCTAAAATATTTTTTTAAGTTTTTTTGTCTTCATTGGCTAGACAAAAGTTAAAAATCTGCCTGAGTAGACAATACAGATTTCTGTTTTCTTGTCCTGGATTCTGCCTTGCTTTGTTTGGTGGCAAAGGAACCATAGTTTTTAGACCCAATAAAATTGGAGTGTTTGTGATACAAGCCTTTTTATCCATACTGTGTGACCACCCAAAATGGCAAAATCTTGCTTGTCTAAAACTAAATTCAAACTAATTTGAGAAATGGCTTTTAAACTTCTTCTTAAAGTAAAGGTAGCCATGACATCAGTTAATGAAAAACTTGAAAGAAATCCTTGAAAAGTCTTGAAGTCTCATTGATGTTACTGCTTCAGATTTCACGTTAGTGCTTCTGGATGGAAGTCAGTGCTTGGCTTTTCTACTGAACTACAGGGATGCTTATCGACTTATTGAGGGTCCCGATGATGGTGGTGTTTGAGAATTGTACATCTTTTACTAGTAAATGCCTGTGCATAATTACCTTTCGCATAGGCTTTTACATTCACATCAAATTCTGTATTTTTAGGTTAAAGAATTTCAGATGTTTTCTATATGGCTAATATATTAACTCTTGTAAGACAACTGAAAAGTAAGCCTGTCTCTGTGAATCTCCGTTTTCTCAGGTGTTTGAGGTATTTTGTAAGCTTGTGGTTTCTCTGAGGTTTCTGAATGACATAATTGAAACTGAGCAGTGTCTCGTTAATTCTCCTCTGTGTTGTCTTGCAAAGAGGTGAATAGCAAAGGTCCTTGTCCTCATTTTCCCCTCGGAGGCCACAGCTTCAGCTTTTGCTTTGGCTCCTTTGGGAATGGTGGTGGTGGGATGCGCATTATCCTGCGCTCAGGTGTTTTGTTGTCACAGATGAATTTCCATGTCCTGTTAAAATGAACTTATGTTGCTACTGGTTGATCCTGCAACTGACTTAAACTAACCCAAAATCCATCATTATGGAAAGGAAGATATTTTACTTATAAGAAATAGTATTTCTATACATAAAATTGTGCATATGTGGTTCTTGTGGTGTGTTACAGGTCGTCTTAAGTCAGTAAGATATCTGGGGACAGGGACACAAAGTCCTGAGGGGTTAGAGAGAGCTTGCTGTCCCCTTACTTCCCCTCTGTAGCTGCCTGATATGTACAAGATGGGGCTTCTGTTGAGTAGTAACAATTAGATAAATCAGGCTAAAGCTTAAATTTTGCAGTGAGGCCTTAGGTCTCTGTACTTGCTGGAGAAAGTTTTTGTCAAGTGGACATGTAGGGTTCCCCCCCTTATGCCCTCACTCTTTGCTTCAGCTTGCTGTATAAAACTAGAAATATGTATTGGCTCTCTTGAAATGGCTGTGGAGAAACTGAGAAGAGACAAATCTGGTTGAACAATTTCTTCTAGTAAAGTGCAGAGAGGCCCTGTTGAAGGATCAATGATGTGTTGTACTCACTCATTTAGTATCTGCCATAAACAAAGTTGTTATGCTTTGGCGGGGAAAGGAAAACAACCACCAGCAATCCTTTTTGATTGTATTTTTCATTGCCTATGCTGTATTCATGTGACAAATCTCTTCCACTTAAAGCAGGCAAATCAACAAGCTGGGAAGATGATGGCTGGGGAGCCTGGGATGAAGCAGAATTACAAGAACCTGTAAGTTCATATATATGAGTTTTCCTTGCTAACTTGTCTATTCGAAAAGACTTTTCCACTTGTTTGTGTGTGTGGTGTTTTTTTTTTTTTTCCTCCTATATAGTTATCACCTGGGCAAGAAGGATCTTGACCAGTGTTTTAAATGTGACTGCTTGTTTGTCCCTTGCTCCTGTAATTGTTTCTAAATATTGCTTGGATGTTACCTATTGTGATAATTACTCATATTCTTGTATTCTGTAGGTTTTTTCTCACTAGAGTATATACACATCTTTCTGTGCTGCTGTAGCTGAGGGTATCTTTGTTTTGTCCTATAGCTAGCCAGAGGCAGTAGGGCATGGCAGTGGAGTTACAATAATCTAGCATGAATTAATATAAATCAAAGACTCCTAAATCATGAACCACTGACACAAGCAGCTTTCTAATGATCACGTAGTACTACTTTTATGTTGTGATGTGCGGATGGTATTACAGGAGGGATCAAATTACATATGTAGGATGGGGCAGCACAATTGCTCTTTAAAGGGGGAAAAACATCTGTCTGTCCAACTAGTTCAACTAAGAATAACATGGCTAGTCTATAATTGTTGGTAAGGCTGAGACTTCTAGCTGCCAGCTGACTTGCATAAAATGTTAGGGAAGCTGTCTGTGTAGAAATCCTCTGCACCTGAATGAATCATCTAAACAGAATTGCTTGGTTAATTCCCCATTAGAGAGCTAAGGGGGTAGACTGAGGAATCCAGACCTCACCTTACTAACAAAACTCTTATCTGCTGTCTGTATCTCAGTATGCAGGAAGTATGCCCAAGGAGTTGGGCACTATCCTTGTAACTACTTACTTCAGCAGGGAAACAGATTTTTCAGCTGAGGTGAGAAATGAGCATGGTGTCTCCCAGGGATGAATCACTGATGCTGATGTCAGGGAATAATAAGAGTATAAAAACTTTTAAATAGGATGAGTATTCAGCTCCCCTATAATTGCCATGAAATGAGTGTGTTTCTCAGGCCACATCTTTGTAAGATGTGCTGTAAAGTTTCTAAGTTCCTTAATGAGGAGAACAAATGCTTTCTTTACTACTTATGTTGTAATTTGATAGAGCCAGCAGGTGTTGCTAAATTGAAATTGTCTTCTTTTTCACTCTTTAACATGTCAAAGGTCTTCTGCCAGGTAGTTCACACCCTTCTTGCTAAAGGCCTCCTTTTCCCCTCCTTACTTGTTTTCTTCCAAAGTTGTTAGTGGTTCCAGGTCAAACTCTTCAGAAGGAATGAACTGTGATCCACAGCAAACAGGTTGTTCTGTGTAGAAGCATATAAATATGTGAATCTGTATGTCTGAACACACACCAAAATGAGAGTGCATCAGTGCAGCACGCAGTTGAGAACTATCAGTATAATATAACAATTAATTCCATTTTTAAAATGTTTAACTGTTGGTTGATTTGCATTATAGTTGATGTAAAATGCACCTTTTTTTGGAATTGCTCAAGTCACTTGGACAAGCATCTATTTCATGGAACACAGCAACTTTTAAGAAGGCATTAAAAATTAAGAAAAATTAAAAATTTTCTTTTCTTCAATGAAGTGTCTTTTTATGGAGAACTGATTAGCTATTTTGTAGGGATGGTGATGTTGAAATCCTGTCTTAAATGCTGATTTTAATAATTCTGTCTTTCACCTTTTAAAGTAGTTTCTTTTGACAAGTTCAGTGCTTTTCCTGTTTTAAGTCTTAGGTTATTTTTGTCACTAACATGAGATGGCCATATTTTACGTATTTAGATTTCAAGTTCTTTGCTTATGCATGCAGATAATCCCTAGAGAAGCCTTTCACTTCTGTTTCTTTTTTCCTCAGTTTGAAAATCATTACATTAAAAACTACTAAAAGGATTTTCTTTGGGTTTTGGTTATGTGTTTTTACACATGATATATTTATCTCTGCCATGAGGAGTTAAAGTTGTCATGAGTATCCCAGTGAACTTCGTCACCTCTTTATGAAGTTTTGAAATATGTCAGTGATTAGGGAAAATGTGTTGCTATAGAACTTGGTATCCATTGACAGACAAAAATGATGTGAAAATAGGATGTCGTCTCGCACAAAGCAAGTGATAGTGTGGACAAAGATAGGTAGCTGAATATTTGTACTGTGCTAATGTAGACTTTATGATGGACATACAGGGTATTCTTGTGTGCACAAAGTGACTGTTTTTATGGTACAACCTTATGAAAGGTAATAAATATAACAAATAGTTGATTATGAGTATGATATGTAAATTCTTCTTACAGGTTTTTTTCCGTGCCTGGAGTAGGTGTGTATATTTTCAAGTACATGCAACTTTATTACAACAGAATAAATTGCACAGATCAGAAAATGATCACACTGAAGTTGCTAGGCTTTTTGTTTGCCTAAAGCTGCTTTGAGGTACTAGAGGACGGAGTAGTAGCAGGAGCTACCCATGTTTGTTCTTCAGTGAAATATTTGGCTTGTTGTTCAGAGGAAAAAAAGATGCAATCGTTTTGCTTTTATATGTAATGATGGTGTCTAACTTACTAATCATTAAACCCTTAAAATTTGGTACTTCTTAGTTTGATTTGTTGCTTTGTAAAGTTCCTTGTCGTGGAAAGGCACATGATGATACCCTGTCACATGTTACCATGAGGCTTTAGTGTGAATGCCAGCTTAGTTACTTTCTTCATATGTGCATATATTTACTCAGTGCTGGTCAGTGTATAAGCTTGAATAAATTGTTTATTTTGAGTATGGATTATGATGAGAATAACTAAAGAGATTCTCTCCAGTCTCTAATCAATAATAATAAAACTTTAAGTCTCATTCTTCTAGTGTCCCTTTGGTGAAAGGAGAAGATTTTGAGGAGTAGAGTTAGTGATGACTCCTTCTTTGTGTTCTGTTTTGTAAACATGCAGATAGAATTAGCGCAAGGTTGATGCATTTCTCATGGCTTTTCATGCAAGTTGGAGCTCTAGTGACTTGGTAGGTAATAGTCCATTTGGCGCTGGTATTGAGAGCAAGCCAAAATGTTGTTACAAATCTTGCAAGTGCTTCTGCGTTTTAAAGTTGTTGCATATATTGATTAAAACTTCACCTGTAGGAAGAAGAGGAATCTACTTCCAAGAACCAGAGAAATTACTGGCTTCAGGACTGTGTGTTGTCCTTGTCACCAACAAATGACCTGATGGTAATAGCTAATGAACAGAAAGCAGTCTTTTTAGTGCGTAAGTATACATTCTACTAAGTATATGTACTAGTACATTTAATAGTAATCAGGACAAGATTGTGTCGTCATCCCCCACCCCACCTGCTCACCCCCAAGTCGTACCTTCAGGAATTTTGGAGTGTTTTGTAGTACACATCATGCATTTTCTAGGTATTGCTTGGCAAGTAAGTTGTTTTGTCTTTACTTCTCAGCTATATTTTGATCTGAGAAAACTATTTTATCACAAATAATTAAATTTTAATATATACTGTAACTACCCAGTTGTTTGAGATGCTCAGAGATATTGACATTAATTGTGCTCAATAAGCAAAACAAAACTCTTGTATTAATTTTAGCCATTAAGAAATATTTGACCTTATTTTTCTTTTCCCTTGAAAAAAATGAGCTAACTGAGCCAGTGTCACTTGGAGGAGGGAGTATTGAGGTGGATTGTTTTTTAAGATTTCCACCTTTGATAGAAAATTCTTCTCCATCTTGAAGAATGGGTGGCTTTATATTTTACTCTAAAGTAGGGCTCTCAGAACTCTTTTAAGGCTACCCTTAGTAATATATGAACACTGATCAGCCAGCTGCTGTTTACATATGTGCTGTTGCCTAGGGTGCTGGTGCTATTAACAGCTGCAGTTGGTGGCATGTGAGCATGATGAAGGGAAAGCTTCTGACATGGGGAATATTTTACCATTTTAAAACAAAAACAGGCTCTTGAAGCTCAGAGTTGCCTAATTAGGCAGATTGCATTGAGTTGTCATGCTGCATGTGTCATTCCCTGCAAAGTTGTGTGTTCCAAAACTGATGTAGGTTAGTCACTAATTTTTCACAGAAAATGAAAAGATAGCAATATTCCTCAGAAAGTTCCTATTGGATCAAGAATAAGGAGAAGATTTAGCTCACCTGCTAGAGAACTGCTTCTGCTGAACTGCACAGTGGCAACTTCCCACACAATGGCAGAAGTGTCCCTGTGCCTCAGGTTTTACGTGTCAGACAAAAGGCACACAACACTAATTTTTTAAGTTGTCCATTGGCACCTGGGAGATGATTCAACAATCAAATGTCATCTGTAATAGCACCCCGTGAATAACAAAGTGTAGCATTTTCTAACCTTGATTATGATGGGATGATTAAAAATTGTCAGATTTAATGTAGGATTTGTGTGTCCGTCTTGGGGGGTTAAAATTAAAATTTTCTATTTGTTTAAGCTCATCTTCAGTAATCATCCCAGAAGAAGTTTGCCCTTGCTTAGTACTTTTCTCCTAAGGATTCCTGTTTCAAGAATTCCACCTTTTAAAATTTGATGAAGTAGATATTACTGTATAAACCTTCTTAAACAAAACTAGACATTTCAGAATTTCAGTGGTATGTTGTTCCATGTAAATTTCTAAGCAAACATGGGAGTTCTTTAGAGAAGTCACTGAAAAAATGTAGTGTTATTTTTATGGTCTTCAAGCTTTGTAACTGGTACTTAATCTAAGTGTGGTAGGATGTATCGTACAGAAGAGAAGGATTAGGGATAGAACTACATCTGCGAGAGGCAAGACATTACAGTTTTATAGATGGTGTTTTTGTTCTTAATGGCAGCTAAATGGAAGCAGAGTGACAAGGGAAAAGAGGAAATGCAATATGCCGTTGGCTGGAGTGGCTCTCTGAATGTTGAAGAAGGGTAGGTGTTGAAATGCAACTGTGATTAAAATGTCATTTTCACGTTTAATAATTAGCATATGCTTTTTACTTGTACTTTTTTTTTTTTTGCTTTCATCCAAGTGCACTCAGGGTCTTATGCATTTTAATGTTGAAAACAGGAATGGAGTAACCTGGATGATCAGAAACATTGTCTGCAAAGGTCGCTTCATGCATGGTGTGATAGCTCAGGGAAAGTTCATACAAATTATCAGAGGTACTATGTGTGCAAATCAGTGTACTTGCATATAATGTAGATATTTTAATAGATCTGGGTTATCATGCTTGTTATAAGTTCCTATTCTAGAAAGAAAAAAGTATATGTACCCCTTTTGAAAATCTACTTTTATAATAGAGACGAAATTTTGTTAGGGGATGTTGCAACTGGAAATGTATGAAGTTGTTTTAGAAATACTTCTTTTAATTTTCAAAACCTCAAGCAAATATAAAGTCATCTCTCTGATCAAGAAGTCACTCCAAATTATAAGCAGTGAGCAACATTCATGTGATAGAAAAAGCGTTCATCTTTTGAGATGCAGTGAACTTCATGTATGCTTTTCATTTTTTTTACCTCCATTGTAAATATCCTCTTACGTGTTTCAGTCACTTTTAGAAATGGTTTTGGGCTCCAAGTCATTTAGTGGACTTGGAAAATTTGCTTTGGTCATGCATTTGGTATTTATACAATATTTCTGCTTGGTCTGTCTTCAAATAACCAGACAGATGCTTTCTCGAATCTCCCATATGGAAGAGGATTTTGCATTTTGTTATTAAGTTTGCAGCCTTGAGTTGCTGTCTGCCTTTGAACATGCTCCCTGTTGGCTTCAACCTTCTGTTATGCTGCAGGAGGTGTTGACTTTATCAGACTCTCTCCAATCTGTAAAAATTATAATGCTTTTTTATAAACCTGCTGCTGCCACACATTTAAACTGTTTTATGTGCATCTCAAGTTTTTTTCCCCCCCATGCTACCACTGAAATTACCGTGTCATCTTTTATTAAAAAAAAAAAAAGGAAAAGAAATTCTGTTTGGGGGTTGGTTCCTTACTGCTGTTACAGCCCCAGAGACACTATCATATGGAACAGGTAGCTTTCTTTAGATAGACACAGTTATATTCACTACATCTTGATTTAAGGCTTGCAAGTGTTTCCCGTAGGTGAGGGTTCTATTTCTGTGGAAGTGTAAATATGGCAATTACTGTCAGATTGTCGAAAGACTTGACTTCTTTTTTTGCCCAAAGTTGCCTTCAACTGATAACGTTCTGTGGTGGCTAAGCTTTGCTGTTGGAAGATGAGAAATCAGTGAGATATTTAACATTGCTTTGAAGTTGTAATTGAATTGCAACTCATGTCAGACTTGCATTTAGAAAACTTTTTTTCTGTAATTAGCTAGCCTGGTTATTTAATCACTCCTTGGGGAATGGAGGTGACCTGAAATGCAAATAATCAACAGTACTGCAGGCATTTATGCTTTAAGTGCTGCTTGGGATGTCGTCTTGAGTTTATATGCCTTTTCATAAAACCTCTGTACTGCTTCTGTCTCCCCAGACAGTGTAAAACTTTCTATCGTGGTAACAGTTAAATAACTTTTGTTTTGAGGTATCGAGGCCTGCTCATCTGCTTGCCTTCTGCATGCTTTGCCTGCCATGCATTGAGCATGCTCAGTTATTACATTAACTGGGAAGACCATGTTAGCTCTTCAAATGCTCTCAAATTATAAAGTGGTGAAATGCAATGGATATAAAATCTACCTAATTGCGTAATGTATTTCAAAAATTTATTTTGATAAGTATAGTTCAGTTGTTTTTTAAAATAGTGGTTGTTCTTGGTATATCATTATAGATCAGAAAAAAATTATTTACCTTTAGGTACATGAGCTTTAACTTGAATCTTTACTGAAGAGTACTGGCAGAATATCGGTCTGTGAGTGATGAAGGACAACATTAACAAGGTGTAATAAGCACTCATGCAATCTACTTGGGCACTCTTGAACTTGTAATTGAAAATGTCTTTAAAATGAAAAGGTGTGTTTTGCCTTTTTAGTATGAATTTGATAAATTGTGTGCTGCATTAATATACTGTTAAAATATTAAAATGCTGACTCAATATCTCTTGCGTAGAGCAAAACTTCACAACTGGAGAACAAATATGCTTACTAGTTTTATCTTTCTGTTTCTAGTGAATGTGTGAGTAGTGTATTGTGTATCCCACTGGCAAGTCAGAAGAGGTAAGGATTGGTATTCTTGTGTATATGCATCATCAGTCTTTTTCCATTACTCTTTTGTATGTCTACAGCTTAGAGCAGGATTTGTTTTTAATTTCTAGTATATCTTTGTGAAACAGGAGTTCCACAGGCCGTCCTGACTGGACCTGCATTGTGGTTGGCTTCACGTCTGGCTATGTTCGTTTTTACACTGAGGTATGTTTCTCAGCATGGCAGGCCCACAAGCAAGCTATTGTAATAAACATCTATTTCTTCTGCAGATAGTGCTTTTTGCCTTCCCTAAGAAAAGGGAGAAAAATGTTCATGCTTATTATTCTTTTTCTTCTAGAGTGGAGTACTGCTTCTTGCACAGCTTTTAAATGAAGATCCTGTCCTACAGCTTAAGTGCAGAACCTATGAAATTCCCAGGCATCCTGGTGTCACAGAACAGGTTTTGTCAGATTATTTCAAAAGCGAAGTGGCAGTGTTATGGGGTATGGAAGGTAGTCTTCTCTGTGAATCCTCTGTGTCCTTTACCAGTTTTTGATGGGTGGACAATTCCTTAGAACAAGAGACTCTGGATTTCTTGTTCTAGAAGTATTCATGCCTGTATAGTTTGAGGATTCAGAGTTTCTTTTTATTTTTTTGAGTATTTAGTTAGCTCTATGCATTTGTTCTCTTTTTCTCTGTGGTAACCTTGCAAAGGAAGGCTTCATTCATTTCCTGTTTATTCATTAACGTGCACAAAATACAATAATGTATGGATGAAAGGAGAAAATGCAACTTGGCAGGTGCCAAGAGCTATACGTACTCTTTCATAAGAACTTATCTTAATTATTTCACAGAGAAGATAGCTGAAAATTAAAACAATCTTTATAGGAGATAGTGCTAGGAACCTGCATGCCATTATGAGTATTTCCTGCAGAGAAGGCTCTTGTAGAGCTCAAGCTATTTAGCAGAAAAGCCAGCTTTCTTTGCTCTTGGCTGAGTTGGCATGCTTTATGCAGAAAACTAATGAAGTTACAGAAATTTCCAAGTTTGCTTTATACAAATGCTCATGTGATTTAGCATGACATTTTGGGATCAGTTTTGAAATACAGAAGCATTAAGGCATTTGAGTCTTGAATTTATATCATCAAATTAGCATTTATGTGCCCAAGTGGTAATTCAGGCGCTAATCCAGTTTCAGAATTTGGCTCATAAAACCTTGATACTTGCATTCTAGATAAACCTGCTTTTCAGTGGCCTTCGCAAGCTGCTGTAACTTTTGTGTTTTCTCTGTAAGCCATAAAATATATTAAGCAAACATAAATGCCATTGAAAGAAGACAAAAATATAAAATTATGTGCCTAAATAACTTATTCATATATTGGATGGTCTAACACTGGATTTCTGTAGTTTTGCCTTATTCTGTTGCCTGGGGCTTGTTAGATATTAACTCTCTGTATGTAATCCTCATCTTCGTGTAGTTAATAGTATAAAAAGCCAGAAAAGAAGCTGTTACAACAGTAACAGTGGTTTGGTTTTTTTTTTTGTCTCCCTTCTCTCATTTTCTTCCACAGAATGAAGAACTAAGTATCTTGTACCCAGCAGCAATTGTGACAATTGATGGTTTCAGTCTCTTTCAGTCCCTTCGTGCATGTCGCAATCAGGTAGCAAGAGGTACGTTTGAGAGGAAATGTTTATTTCTGACTCTGTTAATAGTACTTTACATGAAATTTACTTACGTTTGTTAAATATCAAATCAAGGTGAAATTTGGATCTTCCTTGCTTGTCCGTCAATATATAGGCATCTACTGCATACAAGGAAATTTCTTCCTCTATAGAAAATGTTCTCGGAGCACACGTTGTCCGAGTAGCATTGTCTTGTACGTTCTCACCACAATACTGTATACTGGTTTTGGCTGGGATAGAGTTAATTTTCTTCATAGTAGCTGGTATGGTGGTGTGTTTTGGATTTGTGATGAAAACAGTGTTGATAACACACTGATGTTTTAGCTGTTGCTGAACAGTGCTTACACAGTGTCAAGGTCTCTTTTTTGTTTCTCACTGTCCCGCCAGTGAGCAGGCTGGGGGGGCAGAAGAAATTGGGAGGGGACACAGCTGGGACAGCTGACCCCAACTGACCAAAGGGCTATCCCGTACCATATAATGTCGTGCCCAGCAATAAAAGCTAGTGGGGAAGAAAGCAGAAGGGGGGAATGTTCAGAGTTATGGTGTTTGACTTCCCGAGTAACTGTCATGCGTGATGGAGCCCTGCTTTCCTGGAAACGGCTAAACACCTCCCTGCTGATCAGAGGTGGTGAATGAATTCATTATTTTGCTTTGATTGCACGTGGAGCTTTTGCTTTACCTGTTAAACTGTCTTTTTCTCAGCCTACAAGTTTTCTCACTTTTACTCTTTCAATTCTCTCCCCATCTCACTAGGAGGGAGGGAGTGAGCTGCTGTATGGTGCTTAGGTGCCCACTGGGGTTAACCCACAGCATGCTGCTAAGGTGCTTCTTAGCACGTCAGGATGCTGGTTTCACTGTCAGTGAAATGCTTTTCTTCTCCATTAGGACTTTGTGGGAAGGGATAATGCTGTGATGCTGACATCGATAGTGGTCACTGCTCTTTGTGTTAATGCCTGAGAGCTTTTGATACTTTGTTTGATTGTGCAGCCTTTGATCCTGTTCCTTTAGTATAGTGCCTGTTTATACTCTAATTTGGAAACAGAGTCACTTTCCTGGGGTGAGAGGAGGACCACATAACAGTATTGTGTGGTAGATTGCAGAAGTATGGGGCTCTTACAATTCTGCAAGATAAAACGTTAAACAGGTGCTGTTGCTGAATTGTTCTCCCGAATTTCCTGATGGTTGTTCTCATTGAACTTCAGATTTGTTAGATTCTTGTTTCCTCTACAGCAGGCCACATCAGCAGACAATCATGAGGCTGGGTGTAGGTGGGAAGCACAATGGATCTGCCAGCATGACAGCATTAGGAACTGTTGGGACAGCAGCACCCTTAAACTAGGGCTTGAATCTTACATAGAAGGGATGAGTGGTAAAGAACTGGGAAATGCTACTCTGGTGAGACAGCTCTTCTCTGAATCATATGGGGATGGCCAATAGGAATGGATTGCTCACTCCTTCTTCCAGTTCAGGATGAAGTGGCATGAAATGAAGGTAGATGATAGTAAATTCAAAATAAAAAGTGGATGGGTGTTTATGCAGTGTGAGGTTAAATTGTGGAATTCTTTGCCTGAGGTTGATGTGGATACTAAAAGCTTGCTTGGGCTCAGAGGCAAACTGACAAATTAGTGGAGAAGAAAGCTGTGGAGGTTTACGGAGTGCTTAGAGCTTACCTCTGGCTGAGAAGGTCTCTTTAGAAGCTGGTTTAGAGGAAGCATCAGATATGTGTCCTTGTTCTGATATTCTTCCCTAGACAGCTGGTTTTAGTAGTGCTCAGATCATGATCTGCTGTGCTGAATGATTCCCTGGGTCTACCTAATAATGTCTATTCTTATCCTCTTAATGAAAAGGTAGCATTTCCATGGAATATAAGAGAAGGCAAAACTCTTGTAAATCAGAACTTTTAAAACTGATATTCTGTGAATCATGCAACAAATAAGAAAGGAGACAGACACTATAATGAGAAATACCCATCTGCTTTCACAACCAGAACATGCTCTACTCTTTCGATGAGAGATCACCATTTGCAGAGGAGCACTTACAGCTAGTTGTAATATCTGCACCCAGAGTGCTATATCTTCTTTCATTCTTGATCATTTATGTTTGTTGTAATAGATATTTTGAAGAGTTTCAGTCATCACTTTAGTTTTACCACTGTTCTTACCTTACACTTACATACCCAGTGAATGTGCTGACTTTGCAAGTACTCTGGCAGGGGAGTTTACACTTAAACATGCCCAGACGACAGAAATAAATCGTACTAGCATTTTAAAATTGTACAGAATATTAAACCATAAATGACTAGTAAAACAAAACTCTCTGCAAGCACAAAATATAGTCGTGATAGAATATCATGTGCAATTTTATTCAGTTAATTTTTTTAGAATGTTTTAATTTCATTAAGGTATGTATTTCAAAAGGCCATTTTAGCTCAGCTGGTGTTTAGATGTATGTTAATTTAAAACTAGGTTATTTTGTGACTTCAGACTGCATCAATTTTTTTCCCCTCTGTTACGGTGTTACTCTGCCTTTTACTCAGTAGGAATTTTTTTGTGTTTTATCAACTTTTGTCAGCTGCAGCATCTGGCAATGAGAATGTTCAGCCTCCACCATTAGCTTATAAAAAATGGGGTTTGCAAGATGTGGATACGATTGTTGACCATGCTAGTATTGGTAAGCATTTCTGTTTAATTTCAAATATTTGGCTTAAATGAAACTGAATGCTTTCGTGCTGTTAAATCTGGGGTGAGAGTACTTAGTGATACTGGCTGGCTAGAAATAAATAGTGGGAGAAGGCTGTTGTCGTGAATGATCTCATTAACCATCGTCAAAAATATATTTTACTTTCTCTTCTAGTCTGAGCCTCCCCTCTCCACTTGAGGGGAGAAAGGGTGTTACAGCTGTAGCTGTCTTGTCCTCTCTTGTTTGTTAAGAAACAGCCAAGAGAGACTAGATCAGATGCAGTTATTCCCGTTTCTGCCAGGTTAAAGAACTCTCTGGCAGGCAGGTTAAGACTGGTATGGGTCTTTCCTGAGTCTAGCACATAAAGAAACTAGAATTTGAGATTGCTCCTTTCCAAAAAAGACAAACTGACTTCTAGGCTCTCAGACTTTTACTCCTGAGGAATTTGCAGAAGCCTAGGTTCTTGTCAGACAGGCAGATCTGAGGGACAGTAAGCTTCATTTCTTTTCTGCCCTTTTCACAAAAGTATGTAAGAGGTCAGAAGGGGGCTAACAAGGCAGGTGAAGTGAATTTGGTAGATGTGTTTTTCCTGTTGAACTCTGCTGAAGTTTTTTTTTTTTCTTCTAAACAAATCAACTATGCTTTATAATTAACCTAAGTACATGAGGCTATTTCTGCTGTGTTCTTTGGAATTGCTGTGGTTAAAGCTGCTCTCCTCCCTTCCCTCTGAATATTGGCTGGTCAGTCAAGAAGGCAGGAATATAGTTAGACCTTTAGAGCAATTGCATACCTTTGTTCTGAAAGTATAAAACATTCACTTTAATGTTTTTGTTAGGCATCATGACACTGTCTCCTTTTGATCAAATGAAGACTGCCTCCAATATAGGTGGATATAACGCAGCTATAAAAAACAGCCCACCTGCTATGTCTCAGTATGTTACAGTTGGATCCAATCCTTTCACTGGTTTCTTTTTTGCCCTGGAGGTATGTACTACAAAGCTGACTTGCTGAAACTTTGACTAATTAATCCTTCTCTTTTCTGTGTGGGTATTTGTGAAGTATTCCTATGTTCATTTTATGCTGACATTTCCCCCTCTTCTTGATCTTCTAAAACTGGAATGATTTGGAGTAGATGTGATAGTAATGTCTACCACAGGTTCCTGCTAATAAGAAACTTTATTTTTTATCTTAAAATGAATGTGATAGTCAAGTGTTTTGTTTTTTTTTTACTTTTTCAGTTGTTAATTTATTGCCAGTTAAGTAACTTAAGGTTTTTTAAAAAATTAGGTTGCGATTGTGTAAACATGCATCTTATGGATTTTTGGAGGCCTTTGGCCTTTGATCATGTACACCTACGGCCTGAGTATACTGTGGTGATTTCAGATAGTAGAACTACTACTTGTAGAAGAAAACTGCAAATTATGCTTAATGATACCTGTAGTACACTTACGTCTTCTGTTGGAGGAGAAGGATGGTAATGTAGCTGAGTGTCTTGTACATTCAGACCCTACGTGTGTGCTGTCCTTATCAGGATCAAAAGTTGACTGAAAATGCTAGAATCAAAATTTTGATTTTGTACTTGCTTTTCCAATATGTTTATGAAAAAACTGCTTACGTTGATATTTGCAAGGATGCCAAAGCCATACACCAGCTAACTCTCCATGATAAATCATACACAGGGTTTTTTTAACTTCTGTTGCAGACAAACATACTGAGCTACCAGTGACTTGCAGGAGGATTTTGAAATGGTAAAGAGATGTCAGAATGGCTTTTCTGGGGGCAATGAATTAAAATTTTGCAGAGTCTTAAAGCTATGCTTTCTGAGCTGAAAGTCCATAGGAGGCCTGAAAAACTATTCTGCAGTTGAGTTCAGTGTAAGAACTATTTCTTGGCTTTCTAAACACTTTGTTCCTTCATTTCAGGGTGGCTCACAGCTGACTATTTCTTGACTTTCTAAACACTTTATTCCTTTCTTTCAGGGTAGCTCACAGCCGCTGTTGTCTCATGTTGCCTTAGCAGTTGCAAGTAAACTGACTTCAGCATTATTTAATGCTGCCAGGTAATAACATAAAAAAATAAATAAAATTATTTTTGCCTTAGTAGCTACATGATAGTTTGAGGATTTTTAGGACCATTAGTATGATTCTCCTAATGTATTTTTCTATTGCAAGTGGCTGGCTTGGTTGGAAGAGTAAACATGAAGAAGAACCTCCCCAAAAACAGAAACCAAAAGTTGAACCTGCGACCCCATTGGCAGTGAGGTAGGTTTTACATACTGTCTCAATTGCTTTAAATCCCCTGTGTTTTTAGTTGTTTGAATTATTTTGAAAGGTGCATCATTGATGAACGTGTTTATTTTTCTTGACTTGAAGCAGCGATTGTAGTTTGCAGGTCATTTGTTTTAAGCTTTGTTTCATTTCAGTTTATCATTCTGGACAAATCACTCATCTCTTTCACTTCCAGTGTGTGGGTTCATTGTTACTGTAAAAGAACAGTGTGCACAGTTTAATGACAGTTACAAGTACACGAATATCAGTCCTGAAGTTCATCACTGAAGAGCTTCAAGGAAGCCACGTGAAGTGCTTACTGCTTAAGATAGTTTAAAGCCCCTCACAAAAATTAGGAGGTATCCTGTTTCCCTGTTGATTGTGGAGAGAGGAGGATGGGAACAACAGGTTGTAGCCTAATGTTTTCAAGAAAGCTGATAAAAGACTAAACTAATTCCTGATTGTTTTTCCTGATACTTTTTTAAAGTATTCTCAAGACTAGTCGGCAATAAGAGAGGGCTTACAAAGTAACCCACTCCTCTGAGATCCTTGCCTGACAATGCATGACAAGGCAATCGCTTATCCTAGTTTCTGAACTTTGGTTTTCAGTAGGACTTTAACAGACTTACAAGACCTCCCAGTAGACAGCACAAAAACTTTTTTCATGCTTTGCTCTTAATTTTACCCATACCTTTATGTTACCTTAAAAAAACAAACAAACTTAGTCCTTATAAGATACTCTGTTTACTATTTCTGAAGAAAAATTGGTATCTAGTGTTTTTGCTTGACACTTTTTTAGGTTTGGACTTCCAGATTCCCGTCGCCATGGTGAAAGAATATGTCTTTCTCCGTGTAACACTTTGGCAGCAGTAACAGATGATTTTGGAAGGGTTATTTTACTGGATGTTACAAGAGGACTTGCAGTTCGCATGTGGAAAGGTATGATAGTGTATATTAGTATAGCAAATAATATTCTTCAAAATACTGTGGCTTCTTATGTTCAGACTTAGAATTTGAAGTGTTTTTCCATAATTAAGAAAGACTTCAGTATATTGTGTTATTTCAAACAAAATATTAAAGGCAGATGTAATATAAAGTCCATAAGGGTATTGTACCAATCCTTGAAATACTGATATGGCCTACAGTAAAAATCCGGTCTGTGTAGTTTGTATTGTATAGATTTTTTTTTAATTTTTTTTTTTTTCATAGAC